TGATGTCAGGGGGTGTAGCCTATGCACATAAGTCATGCTAATGAGCAATGTTCCCTCTAAGCTGTGGAGTCTGGTGAGCACAAATTCTACCTTGTGAGCTACTGGCATCAAAGTTGTGAGCGAGCGATTTGGCTGTTGCATAAATTAGTTTGCTCTGGAGCCGGCCTTCCTGAGCTGAGACAAAAATGTGTGAGCCGGAGGCTAAACATCTGTGAGCTGGCTCACACTAACTCAGCTTAGAGGGAACACCGCTAATGAGTTACGCTAATGAGCTCCTGCACCTCTTTTTCTACGCAATGACCCCTGAATAGAGCAGACAGGGCACGGATGTCACTTGGCAGAGAGTTCCACCGGGCTGGAACCAGAGTGGAGATGGCCCTGGCCGAGGCCAGCCGGCTATCTTTTGGGTCAGGGACCACCAGAAGGCTCTTGTCCCCTGATCTGAATGTCCTTAACTCTTATAAAGTCTTATAAATTCTAAATTGCAGGTAACAAGATGGGTGTTTGTGTCTCTCTCCTTCGTAACCAGTTTAACCGAATTACTGGCATTTCGGTGAGATTATTATAGCCAGATATTCCGCTACCGAGACCGTTGTTTCAGGATCAATGTCCGCCAGTAAGAGAGAAATCACCCATGGCGCCAATGGGAGATGGTTTTTTAGATAGGATTGGATCAGTTGCTCCCTCTGAGCTGAGTCAGTGTGAGCTAGCTCACAGTTTCTTAGCCTCCGGCTCACACCTTTTTGTCTCAGCTCAGGAAGGAGGGCTCCCAGAGCAAACTAATTTATGCAGCAGCCTGATCGCTTGCTCACAACTTGAATGCCAGGAGCTCACAAAGTGGAATTTTTGCTCGAAAGACTCCACAGCTTACATGAAGCACTGGATTGGATATATTCCATAAGACCGAAAAGCGGTCTATTGATAGCTAAACAGTAGCAGGAGCACCAGGATCAACCGAGGACCACCAGTGGGGTCATCAGAAGGCGGGCAGACGGCGGGCAGACACCCACCTCTCCGCCGTGCCTGGATTCAGTTTAGCTAAAAATCCCTTTCCTCGAGGAATGTTTTGCGTCCAACGACAAATTATCCTTCGTGGTCTATTTTTATCACCTTGAGAGCAGGGTTCCCTCGAAGATGAGTTAGTGTGAGCTAGCTCACAGTTTTTTGGCCTCCGGCTCACACATTTTTGTCTTAGCTCAGGGAGGAGGGCTCCGGAGCAAACTAATTTATGCAGTAGCCAAATTGCTTGCTCACAACTTTAATGGCAGTAGCTCACAAAGTAAAGTTTTTGCTCACAAGACTCCACAGCTTAGCTGGAACATTGCTTGAGCGTCAACTTACTGGTGTAAAGGCGTCATCAACATGCAAGTGTCAGTGTCTGCAGATTTTAAGCCCCAACTTGATCTGAAAGGGGCACTCACCAACCTGGTAACC